CAGATGTGGAGGGCTGTGATGAAAGGGACAGGGAAGCTCAGCAGAAAGGCTTTGTGTCCCCACAAAGGGACTTTGTTTCCCTTCGCTTGTTTGCGCTTCCCTGGCACACTCACAGACAGCGGCATCTGTGTATTTATTGTTTTAGGCTGCCCATAGAAAGCTGTGTTAAGGACAGGACTGCTCTCATCAGCTGGAAGGAAGCTACGTAGACATTTTTAACGCTCTGAAATGCTGTACAGTGCAATATTACCTTGCATGACTGGACCCAAAGAGAGAAGAGCCAGAAGATATTGAAGTGGAAGAGATAACACCGCAAGAGCAGCCAGGTAAGTGGTGAATGAGTTAAGTAGTATGAGGGTAAACCACGATAAACACAATAAATATTTCTGGGAACAGAAAGCCCTGGCTCACTCAAATGGGTGTAAAAAGTTTACTAACAGAAAGTCTGGTAGAAACCAGACTTTGGAGGAACGACCTCCAGTGAGGATGGTGCCAAGTGTCACGCAGACACATCTGCACACAGCGCACATGACAGCCACTCAGCCAAAAGTTATCTTGCAAAAATGGGACAGAGCTTGGGAATACAAGAGGAATGTTGGGTTTTATCAGAGAAGGGCAAGGGAGAGGACCTCCTGCTGCCCAGTGGGATGAGTTTTCTGCAGTAGACAAGATGCAGTTTTATGTATGTGTTGAAGCAAATGATACAGTTTCTGTCCACACAAATGCTGTATTACAGATGTATGAAAATAAATATTAGATGAAGTCCCCAGAATAATTTATTTGTGTATTTGGAGATTGCACTCCCTGCGCATCCTGTGGCTGGATACTGCTCTTCCCCTTTGTGGCTGGTGGAAAGCTGAGAACAAGCCAGAACATCAGAGGCAGACCCCTTCAAAGCTATTTTTGAGATGTTTTAGGACTTCAACAGCTTAATTTGGATCCACTTAAAAGTGACAAAATCCTCCTGTTACTTAATAGTTTCTTCTTAACTCATTGTTTAGGAGACTGAAGACCACAGTCCAGAAGTCGTCTCCATCAGTCAAAAGGGACATTTTCATTCCCTTAGCTTACTGCCATCAGCTTGGTCTGTCAACAAACATACTTGGACTACACTTACTCCAGGCCAGCTGTTTCCACTAGGAGTTTACTCGTAGTTTCCTTTGAGCATTGCAATAGATGAACGAGAGAAACAGCTATTTGTATCTTAGTGCACTACTAAGTGTTTTATGTTTAATGCACGTACTTTCTC